TTGCATCCAGCACCTCCTTGCGTCCGACTCATCCTCATCCTCCCCCTCGCCCTTAACTCCTTGAGTAACAAAACAGCATGAGCGGGTGAGGGGCAGTGGAGCGGCGAAATAATTGTAGAAGTTTGCGGGCTTGGCAGTAGGAGCAAACAGCCGCACACACAGACACCTGGGATGGCTAACCCAAAGGACATGTGTACTGGTTGTGGACATACGGTAATGTATTACATAGCTACAGACATGCTACGGACAGGTTAGACACAAGCTAGAGACAGGCTTAAGTCGACGTCACCGGTGTCAGGACATGCGTACTGCCTGTCCGATCCGGTCAGTTAGAGACATGTATTGAGCGCCCAGAATCGTCCGCCCAATATCAACCAAGACCTCCCGATCTCAACCGCTCTGACACGACTTTCGCCGACGTCAACCAGCTGAGCCCATGTAAGTTCTTACTGGGCGTAATCAGTCGGCATAGCTGCACTGGAAGGAAGTGAAGCACTCACCGAGAGCGAGTGTTCAAGAAGGTGGTGCTAGGTATTGCCTGAGATGGGAGCGCATAATGCTTACATAATTAGATCTCAGCAGCAGATGCCGCAACCTAATTTTTTGAGGCAGCTCGTAGTAATCGTGGATAGTGCCGGTCCCGCTTCGTCGACATCGCCTTCGACTAGCTCTCCCTTGAAGGCGCACCCCTTGCGGACCTTCTTTGAACCTACCAAAACTACAGCACACCATGTCTAGATTCTTCCGCGCAGCCGGCGACTCTGATTCAGACTCCTCTTCCTCTGAGGAGGAGGAGCTCATGTCCAGCGACGACGAGGCTCCGAAGCAAGCCGCACCCGCGGCCAAGCCCGCCATGTCACGATTTCTGAAGGGCGCAGGCGACTCAGACTCGGACCAGTCTTCCGACGACGACGAGAGCGAGGCAAGCAGCGACGAGGACGAAGAGGCACAACAAAAGCCGAAGTCGACCCTGGGGAGGTTTGTCCACGGGGCGTCCTCGGACGAGGATTCGGACGAGGACGTGAAGCGGGTGGTGAAGAGCGCGAAGGACAAGCGGCTGGACGAGATGGAGGCGACGGGGCGGGCGATGGACAACGCGCTGAAGATTAATGATTGGGTCGCGATCTCGACTGGTGCGTCCATGCCGGATTTTATTCGCGGGGGACCGTCGTTGCGCGCTATTGGTGGCGGAATGCTCATGCGATGCCCGCATCGCGCTCTGTAGAGTTCGACAAGCTCGGGCGGATGGTGCAGCGGCAGCAGAACGTGTCGGAGCCCGTCCCCCCGTTTTTTATCCGCACGATCGTGAACCTCGAGAACTCGATCAACCAGGCGGCCGCGAAGGACAAGGAGTCGAAGAAAAAGATGAACGCGAGCAACGCTCGTGCGCTCACCGCCGTCAAGCAGAAGGTGAAGAAGCTCCTCAAGGAGTTCGAGAAAGAGGTCAAGCGCTTCCAGGAGGTATGCTGCGTCTCCCGTATATCACTGGGTGGTGTGGATGTTGAACGTCTGCGTAGGATCCTGAGGCGTTTGAGCGTGAATATCAGGCATCGGTACAGCCGGAGGCTGCGCCTGCGCCACCGAGGGCGAAGAAGGTGAAGAAGGGCGATGAGGAGGAAGAGGACGAGGATTTCACGACCGTGGGCAAGGGCGGCAAGGCTATCCAGTTCACGCCTGAGAGCATCTTCAAAAACCTCCAGGTCGTCCAGGAGGCTCGTGGTAAGAAGGTCAGTATATGCGACGTCTATGGCTAGTTGCTGCCCCAATTGAGAAGCATATGCCATGCAGAACACCGATCGTACAGAGCAAATTCGCATACTCGAGAAGCTCCTGGAAGTATCGGTCACTTCGTACCAGCGGATACGCGTTCTTCTCGCCTTGATCGCCTCTCGCTTTGACTACAACTCCTCCGTCGCAACGCACATGCCTGTGGAGCTGTGGGTGGCCGCCCAGCGCGAGGTGGACCAGCTCATCTCCATCGTGGCGAACGAGCCCGCATACTCGATCCAGGAGATCACGGACGACTACGATGAGCTCGCAGAGCGCTCGCCCGAGACGGAGAAGGATGGCATCGTCCGCATTCGCGGCAGCGTGATTAGCTTTGTCGACCGTCTGGATGACGAGTTCACAAAGAGCCTCCAGAACATCGATCCGCATGGGACTGAGTATGTCGATCGGCTGAAGGACGAGAAGGGCCTGTACAGCACCATCTGCCGCGCACAGACACTATACGAGAAGAAGAAGCAGGAGGACCCGCTCGGTCGTGTCGTCATGCGCCGTCTTGAGCACATTTACTCGAAGGTATGTACTGCGCTTCTTGATGTGTGACTGCCTAGCTTACGGTGCATCGCAGCCCGACCCGGTCGTTCTGGCCCTCGAAGCTCCTGTTGCCAGCGCGGATCTCAAGCCGTCGGTGGTGCTCTCGTCTGACGACAAGACGTCGACCCTCATTCACTCTCTCTGCGTCTACCTCTACAAGTCCGGCAACTCCCTCCTCCGTACCCGTGCCATGCTGTGCCACATATACCACTTTGCCCTACACAACGACTTCCACACCGCGCGTGACATGTTGCTCATGTCGCACCTCCAAGAGTCGATCCACAATGCCGACGTTGCCACCCAGATTCTCTACAACCGGACTGTCGTCCAGCTGGGTCTCAGCGCGTTCCGCTGCGGCCTCATTAAGGAGGCCCAGGCAACCCTTCAGGACATCTTCGCGACGCAACGGGTGAAGGAACTGCTCGCGCAAGGTGTGCACCAGCAGCGCTACCAGGTCCTCACACCCGAGCAGGAGAAGGCCGAGCGGCAGAGGCAGCTTCCCTTTCACATGCACATCAACACTGAGCTGCTCGAGGCTGCCTTCTTGGTCTCGAGCATGCTCGTCGAGATCCCTCTCCTGGCCAGCATCGACTCCGAGGAGCAGAAGCGCAAGGCGATCTCGAAGCCGTTCCGTCGTCTGCTCGACTTCGCCGACAGGCAGGTTTTTACGGGCCCGCCCGAGAGCACGCGCGACCACATCATGCAGGCGAGCAAGGCGCTCCAGGACGGCGAGTGGGAGAAGTGCCGGGACCTCGTCCAGAGCATCAAGATCTGGAGCTTGATGCCCGAGTGCAACGCGGTCAAGGAGATGCTTGCGAAGCGCATCCAGGAGGAGGGCCTCCGGACGTACCTCTTCACGTACGCGCCACACTACCGCACGCTGTCGCTGTCGCTGCTCGCCAAGACGTTCTCGCTCCCGCTGCGGTCCGTCACGTCGCTCGTGTCGAAGATGATCTGGAACGAGGAGCTTCAGGCGGCGCTCGATCAGGCGGTGGGCGTCGTCGTGTTCAACCGTGTCGAGCTCGCGCGCACGCAGCAGCTTGCGCTGACGCTCGCGGACAAGGTCAACGCGATGGTCGAGCAGAACGAGAAGGCGCTCGACCAGAAGCTCGGCGTGAGCACGGGCTGGAACGAGCGTGCGGACGGTGGCAAGGGCGACAAGCGTGGCGAGCAGACGCAGGAGGGCCGTCGTCGCGGCGACCGCGCAAGGGGAGGTGCACGTGGTGAGTACTGGCCGGCTCCGTGCAGTGAGACGCAATGTGCTAACAGGGTTGGTTGCAGGTGGTGCAAGGGGTGGTCGTGGCGCACGCTTCGCGCAGGGTCTTGGGTCACAGATGGCTGGCAACACGCAAAGAAACCGGTGAGGGGCAGGTGGTCCTATCACGACTGTTCACGATTGAGCTATGGATACATGTATATCGCTTCTGCTGTGCGCCGTCTTGTACTGTACTGTTGTATCGCTAGCATACACACAGTCATGTCATATATGAACATTTTCGTTACTCGTCGCTCTCTTCTTCGGTGCTCTCGTCGTCATCTTCGTCCTCGCCGGAGTCTTGATCTTCGGAAGTCTCGTGCGCGGCCCAGTCCGATACCTCGAGTTTCTCGCTCCTAGCGCTCTCTGCGTCCAATGTAAGTAAACAGTACGACGATGCCAAGGCTAGAAGAGCTCACCTCCAGCGGGGACCTCGTAGCCAGGCTGGGTGACGCAACGAGACAAGTCCGCCTTCGTGCCGACTTTCGTGTACGCCCCGAGGATACAGCCCTCTAATTTCGCGCTATTCGCCACCTACTTCAGGCCCACTATCCGTCTATATACAAGTATCAGAGACTCACCCTTCCGCGATAACGCAATGGTCGAGGATCACGCAACCAACGATCTTGGCCATTTTGCCGATGACGCAATGCTTCCCGATGACCGACCGCTTGATGCTCGCACGCTCTTCGACCCGTGTCGAGCGTCCGATCATGGAGTCCCCGGAGATCTGTGCTTTGTGGTCGATAAGCGAGCGGTTCTCGGGGTCGGAGGGGAGAGCATAGGTCGTTTGGCTGAGGAACTAGTCAGACGGAAAATTAGCTGGCCCATATGAGTATCTAGAGCTCAAAAGAATCTTACAAAGCGGTTGAGGTCGAGGTACGAGTGGAGGTTGTTCCCGCGGGAAGCAAATCCGGACGATGATCGATGTACGACGAGACCAACGCGCAAGCTGGGCTCAACGGCGTCCTCGTCCTCATCTTCGACCGGCGAAGGTACGGTTGACCGCATGTGCTCGTCAACAGCTTCCTCTTCCTCGGCAGTCTTGCTCCTTAAGTGACGCTTTTGCCCTGGTAGGTGGAGCGTTGAGTGTTTGAGCGCTAGGCTTTGCGAAACGTTGTTCGAGACGGGGCTTAGAACTGCGGTAGATGGACTTCGTCAGGAAGCACGCAATGTCGCAGGGCTACGACACTCACTATTTCCATATTTCTCCCGCCGTGTTCGTTGATAGTGCGGCTTGCACAGCCAGGGGATGAACTCTTCGCGTATAGAGTCCAAATGCGCCTTCTCGCTGAGCGCATCGAGCACTGTCCTTTTGCAGACATAGACGTGAGAGTCTCTGAAACTTGACGAAAGCTTCGTCCGCGGGTACCTAATCGCAAAGAGCGTTAGTTTCTATTTGCCGCTTGCAAGCAGCTTGACCGTATAGCGAGGACTGACTGTGAGAGTAGGCTCATGCGCAGCTCAAACTCCTCGTTGTTCTTGTCAACGTCTTCTGGAGTGTCTATATGTAGCAATGTTCCTGACCGTTCGTCGAAGACGATCGGGACGTTGGAGGGAAGGATACCCCACTCCTCCGTAGCAGCCGATTTGTCCGTACGACTAGCCTCGTAGAAGCACGCGGTGGCGATAGACCCGTCGTAAGTGGTCTCTGTTCTGAACTTATTTAGGAGCTGTGTAAGGGAGAGCCCGGGTGGAGGGACGAAGTCGCATGGGAGGAGTATGAAGTCCGACTGAATGCGCGACGAAAAATGCCGAAGGAGGGTACATGTTCCCACTGCGAGATCCTGTGACTCCTCGTATGTCTGCAAGTCAATCCTGAGGGACGGAAAAGATGATGATACGTCGGATTGGATGTAATTGGACATCGCGGAACGATGCGATGTCGGACATATGAGCAAGACGTCTAGAATGAGAACAAAATGAGTTGCGTATGATATCATAGGAAGAAGGCACGCACCAGTCACGCCAGATTGTTCTAACCACGACAGAGGGTACTCTATCATTGGCTTGTTTGCAATGGGAAGCAGTGCCTTGGGAGATGGCTCGTCCCCATGATTGCTCGTGAGCGGGATGAGTCTATGGCAGGCACATCAGTTATCAAGACCTTCGTGCGCACCCTGTCTCTCACTCGTTACCAAAGCCAGAAAAGACTACTGCAACGAACTCCCGCGTCACGATCTTGTTGGATGACTCGTCGAAGTCCATGGTATAGTTGTAAATCTCAATCCGAGTCAGCTGGATAAGCGCTTGTCCATGGCCAGATCTGCAGATCTCGACACTGCATTTCGCCGCCCTGGCTCGGCCCGCGGCTTGCAATCGCTAACAATAACCGAGCATGTACTCTTTGTACGACATCAGCAGCACGGTCGCTCGCTTTTCCAGCAAACATACTGCAGTGTGTTTGTGGCTGTGGTCCAATGCCTGTCCCTGTGCTGACACGATCAAGAATGCCACTCGAACACGGCGACCGCACTTGAAGGGGGACAAGAAAGCAGGTGGACACTCGTGGAGAATCATTTAGCACCCACCACTAAGTACTCACTTCTCGCACGCAGCATCGCTGACCATCTGCGCCTCGCGGACACTAGGAATGCTTACGGTCATTGGGTCGGCCCTTCTTACATAGACTCTGTCGTCCGCACTTGCTCGCATCTGTCTCTGAAGCTCTGCTGATCCCTATGGACTTGTGCGTTATGCGCGCTCGCTCGCTTTAAAACGGAAGAGTTCTATTAGACAGCCGGGATACTTCTCTAACGAATGCGTACAGGCTAGCCTTGCTGAGCTCATCACTTCCCCTGATGGCTTCTCAACGCCTCCAGCCTCCAGCGTCCACAAGTGTTGAGCGGCTCCAATCCAAGCCGGTGACTTTCCAAGTATTATTAACCTATAGTATGCTTTGATCAGGAAGCAGACCCTGCGGGCCTTCACACTCGCTGCATTCGCCATGGGAACCGCGTGGACCCCACCTGCGGATCCGTGCGGGCCGCGTCTGTCCCCTTCAACGCATGAACTTCGCTTTTCAGCACGTTCATGGGACATGATTTAGCACAAGCTCATGCCCAATGATCCACTGACATGCGACTTCTTCGCTGGTCATGCATGATCTTGAGACCAACTTCTGACGGCATGTACGGGCACTGCAATGGCCGGTTCCAAAGGCCTCGTGGCGCGCCATCCATGTGCACGATCGTCCGACGGCCGGGCGAGCACAAACTCCTTCTGTTCCCTGGCAGCTTATCCCATACTTGTAGGACACTATTAATTTCTTCGGGTTACCTTGGAGCAGCCTTGACGCCCTTGACGCCCTCAGACGCAGTTTAGCGGCAAACCATTCTCGCTCAATGATTGTGACTATCGTCGTCCTGCCAAGCGAACCGACAAAGCGAGCCGACCGGGCCTCAAACCTCCGTCAATTGCGATTCGCAAAAACTTGCGGATATGTCTCGGTGGTCGAACCCTGGCCTTAGAGAACCCTCCACGCTTCGACTTCTGGGGCAAAGGTCACAGGTCATAAAGGCACGCCTAGCATGATATCTTGCAATCCAACCTTGAGCTTCACTCCCGATACTCCACATCGTCATGGGCTTCAAGTCTCTCTTTGCTGCCGTTGCGCTCGTCACTGCCGTCTCTGCCCAGCTCTCGGGTAGCGTTGGTCCTACGACTCCTCTCTCGCAGAAGAGCCACATTTGCAATGTCCTCGACTACGGCGGGAGCGTCGGCTCGAGCGACATTGGTCCTGCCATCACCAGCGCGTTCAACGTGAGTGATCCTTGGCCGTTACTGTACCAGACGTCGTTCAGCATGGCCCCCTCTGCAGAACTGTGTCCTGAAAAACTCCGGGTCGACCCTGTATGTCCCCGCCGGTGCGTCACCCTCCCTGCGAATTGCTTTTGAAACTTCAAGCTCATGGTCGACTTTTCCTCCACAGGCAACTACAACATGGCCACTTGGGTTGACCTCAAGGGGGGTACCAAGTGGGCATTCCGCCTCGATGGTTTCATCACCCGGACATGTTCGCCTATCCAGTGCTCACCATTGACGCCAAACATACTAATACCCCTATGCAGCGACCACTGGCGGCAATATGATCGCGATCGAGACTGCCAATGACTTCGAGTTCTACTCCGCCAATAGCGCTGGAGGCATTCAAGGTTACGGTTACCAGTGTCGCAATGCGGGGTAGGTCCTGCATCGAAATTCCAGTCCCGAGACAAAGCGGGCTGAACCACACCCCCCTTCTTTCCAGCCCACGTCTGATCCGCATCGTCAACTCCCAGAACTGGTCCATCCACGACCTCGTCCTCGTCGATTGTACGTGACGATTACAGTGGCGAGGTCCAGAGACTGACAAACTCATAGCGCCTGAGTTCCACCTGGTCATCCAGTCTGGACAGAACGGAGAGATCTACAACTTGGCAATTCGGGGTGCCCTATCTCTCGACACCTACGCATCCCATGGAGAATACTGACATCACAATGACAGGTGCCAACATCGGTGGTTCCGATGGTGTGGACGTGTGGGGAACCAACTACTGGATTCATGACGTCGAGGTCACCAACCGCGACGAGTGCGTTACTGTCAAGGTTCGTTGCCGTCGTCTTGGTCGAGTGTTTGACCTCATAATGACATTCGATTGAAGTCCCCCGCGAACAACATTCTGATTGAGCGCAGTAAGTGCTTCGCTACCTTCAGAACTGGGGATTACCATCTGATTGATCTTCGTATCAGTTTGGTGCAACCAATCGGGCGGGAGCGCCATCGGCAGTCTATCAGATGGCACCGCGATCGAGGACGTGATCTACAGGTGCGACATGCCCTCATAGACTTGACGCACGCCGCTCTAATGCTTGCTCTAGGAACATCTACACTAATGGCGGCAACCAGGCGTTCATGATCAAGAGCAACCTTGGCTCTGGTTACGTGAGGAACGTGCAGTTCCAAAACTTCATCTCGAGGGGCACCGCGTACGGCCTCGATATCAACCAATACTGGTCGTCGCAATCCCCTGGCACAGGGGCAGGTGTTGAGCTCTCGAACATAACCTTCTCAGTACGTCCCCCCCTCCTGCCTGCTCAACTACTCGCAGCCAATGCATGTCCTCAGAACTGGGATGGTAATGTCGTAGATGGCGTTGCGCGACCCCCTATCCAGCTCATTTGCGCGGACGGTGCCCCTTGCCACGGTATCACTCTAAGCAACGTGAACATGTGGTCGCAGACCAACAAGGCCGTCGTGAAATGCGAGAGCGCATACGGCAGCGGTCTCTCATGCATCAAGGGCGGCTCATCGTACACGTCCTATGCGATTGTGACGCAGTCCGCGACTCAGCCGCCGGGCTACTCGACCCCGACGACACTGGCTGGAGATCTCTCTTCTGGCTTCGCCACGAACGCTGCTATTCCGACACCGTATGTGTCCCGTCTTGATGTATGATTCGATATGTTCTGACCCAGTGAATTGCAGGACAATTCCGACTACATTTTACCCTGGTCTTCCCCAGATAAGTCCGCTTGCGAAGAACCAATGAACTGTGGTATGACGTTAGCATCGAAGATATCAAGGACAGTGGCATGTCCTCGAGCTCCAGGCAAGCTGTACATAGACGCAAGCCAGGTGTTGTATTAGGTACATTGGCGTTTGTGAATAAGACATCTCCTACCGGCCACGATGAGTGTTCGTGGAGACCTGTGACAGCATCCGAGAGCGAATGGAAGGAATGCAACTCGAACTAATTATGCTGTGCTTTACATGATCGACGCATGTAGACGCCTGAGTGCGGAGAGTTTAACCGTAACGTCAGCTGCCTCGCCTTTCTCTCCAGTGTCGACGCATTATTGACGGACCGGCTTCCGTCCCTGCCGCCCACATCGAGCTTGGTCAATCTGCTTCATGTTCGCGTCTACTGCCCTCGTTGCTTGACAGGTCTCCAGGCTGCTCTCCATGATTCTTCTTCTCGGGCTGTTCCTCAACATTCACCGTCTTCTACACCTTCTAGGATCGCTCACCAATGCCGCCGGTATCTGTCCATCAGCTCTACCAACGTCTTGAAACCGTAGGGAAGGGCGCATACGGGTCGGTACATAAGGGCAGGGACTTGCGCACGGGTGAGGTAGTGGCGCTCAAGATCATTAACCTGGACACGGAGGACGATGATGTAGGAGACATACAGCGCGAGGTTGCGCTCCTCACCCAGCTCCGGGACGCCCCCAACGTCACGAAGTACTTCGGTTGCTATATGGACGGGCCCAGGGTGTGGATTGTCATGGAGTACGCGCAGGGAGGCAGCGTACGGACGCTCATGAAGGCATGCAAGGACGGCGTGGTGGAAGAGAAGTACGTCTCGGTCATCATCCGCGAAGTCCTGAACGGCCTCAGCTACCTTCATAAATCGTCTATCATCCACCGCGATTTGAAGGCCGCTAATATCCTCATCACCTCCACTGGGAAGGTGATGATATGCGACTTCGGTGTCTCTGCGCTCCTAGTCACGGCTTCCAGCAAGCGCAACACTCTGGTCGGTACGCCACACTGGATGGCGCCCGAGGTCGCGCATGCGTCTGCGTACGACTCCAAGGCTGACATCTGGAGCTTGGGCATCATGATCTACGAAATGATCAAGGGGAGCGCCCCGAACTCGCACATTGTGGACCAGGCGAAGCTCATTCAGCTTATCCCGCGCATGAAACCGCCGAGGTTGAATGAGGGAGAGGGTAGCAGAGAACTTCGGGACTTTGTGGCGGCGTGCTTGCGAGAATCTCCAGCAGATGTGCGTAGCTTCATCTCAGGGCCCTCAAGAAGCCTATTTATGTTCTGCGCTTTGTAGCGGCTTTCTGCGGACGAGTTATCGAAGACGAAGTGGATCGTCTCGGTCCGCAAAGTCCCTGTGACTGTTCTGAAGGACTTGATCCTCCGCTATGATGCATGGACCAAGGGCGGCGGCTCGCGTGCGAGTATGGCTCAACCTCTTCCATGGGAGGAAGAGGAGGAACGAGAGCGCAAGTGAGTACCCTCTTCGTTGGCCTAATCCAGATGAATACAGCACTCACCTATATCTCTAGTCCGCAAGCAGACGCCGTGTACGAGGACGACAATCCTTGGGAATTTGATACGGTCAGAGGGAGATCGTCACTCAGTCTAGACAATTTTGAGGTGGACAACTCACTGCTCGCAATGTTGGAAGACGAGTCAATAGGCGAGCAATCAACTGTCCGACCGCCACCCACCAACGTCCCAGCCACGCTGCGGAACCTCTTCGATTATGGTGACCCCCCACCACCTGAGCCGTTCCGCATGCCGACGTTTGACTCGCCCTACGATGACCCTCTGATGACGAATCCATCTCTTAACCTTTCAGCCGCCCTCCCTACACGTGGTCGTAGCCCTTCGAAGGGTTTGACTACCCCGGAGCCTACTCTCGGAGAGGACCTGCGTACTGCGAAACAGTCGAGCTTTGTGTTCCCTCCACGAGCGCCTACCCCTCGCTCAAAAACCCCCGGCGCGGAACAGGATGAGGGCGAGCTGCCTCCTACTTCCCCGATCGAGCGAAAGCGAGATCGCCTCCCTCCTCTCGGTCCCGGGATACCACGGATGCTCGCACCGATCTCAACCTTATCGGATAATGACAGCAAGCCTCCGGCTTTGTCGTCCAACAAGTCTGCACCAACATATCGTGAGATCCGTTCCAACCGCGGTGTGCCGGACATAGAAATTCCAGGGCCTTCACCTATAGAAGCGTCGGTCGACAGTCCCCCTCCTATCGTCCTATCTACGTCATCTCCCGAGCGTACGACGCCCAGCCGACCAGCTCCAAACCGGAAACGGTCCCAAAGTAGCGCCCCTGGCCTGGCGTCTCCTTCCACCTCTGGCATCACGTCTGCCACACCACGAGAACGCAACCTCGTAACCCCTGACTTCCGTTTTCCACCCCTCTCCCCCAGCCTCAGTGCTGACCGAAACAATACTGCTCCTTCCCCCGTACCGACTTTTCGACTACCCCATGGCCATAACCGACGATCACCCACACATTCCAGTGTGTCCACTATTTCCACGATATCCACCGTTTCCACTACGTCTAGTGTCCACCAAACTTCTCAGTCTCTGGATGCATCCATTCTCCCCAAACGTCTCGCTTCACCTGGTGGCTCCCTCCCAATGCCGCCGCCGATTATGCGGGCACGGTCAGCGACAGCGACGACAGAAGCAAGCCCGTTCTCCGCCGCGCAGAGCCTGATTATGAGTCCGAAGGGACCGTCGAGGCGGCCCAGTCTGCATCGCTTAGGGTCTGCCTCTGTCCTCGATATGCCTACACGACCTTTTGCGAAAGGTCAAGATCGGAGTGGTAGCCCTGTCGAGTCGTCATTCAGTACATCGTCGGGCATCCCCCTGCCTGGTCTTCGAGACGTGTTGAAGGTAAGACCTTTCTCACTATCATCAAACCCTTGCCCTGGCTCATATCCGATTGCAGATCCCGACCATCAACTTCGAGCATAAACACGCCCACGCAGATCTCTTGCCTCCGTCACCTGCACCCTACCCCGTACCTCCAAGATCTGCCAAGTCACCCCTCACACAGCTGAACTCGACAGCGTCATCTTCGACGACATCTCTCAACTCCCTCTCCTCGCAGCCGAATATGTCCTCCACCGACCTTCGCTTCGCATCCGACAGCTCCTACACGACACACTCACGATCCCTCTCCCTCGGAGGGTCCCAGACGTTACCTCTTGTTCCGTCGGACATGCCTCCATTACGACCGCTCGATCTAGGGCCGCTTATGCACTCGCACGAATTGACGCACGCGGAGCTCGCGCGGACAGTGGACGAGCTGCAGAGCTGGATGCAAGTCGTCGAGGCCGGGCTCGCACAGATGCTCGACCGGGCCGCACAGGACCAGCTGACCATCGAGGAGGAGACGGAGGACGCGGGTGTGTTCGACCCTCGGCTCGACGACGATCCTCTGCGGCTCTCGGACGGCCGGACGGCGACCCCGCATCCGTATCCGTTGCCTCTTCCCTTGGAGTAGCGGGTCTCACGGGCCGGACACTGCTGAACCGGTCGTTGACTGCCACTGTGCCTGTTGTTGTCTGTGTCGTTCGGTTTCACTCGTGCTTGAGCCTGTGACTGACTTTGAGTGTTCGCCTGTATCATCGGTCCGCGCTATAGAGACATTGCTGTATGTACAGTATATCATGACCGGCTCCCTGCAACTCTGTATGCTTACACTGCGGCTCGCTGGCGTCGCTCGCATTTTGCGTTCTTGACGCTTCGGTGGTCATGCATCCTTCTTTTTTCCCGGACTGTGGCTTCGTACTATACGGCTATTGACGATGGCAGATATGTGAGACTGCAAGGAACGTGAAGCGATACTGATACCGGCACGCGTCCCAAGTGCGGGATCCCAACCCAAAGACAAATTGTTTTCGTACGCTACGTGGCCCCTGGCGGTGACTCACGCACTGGACCACAGTCAATGACATGATTCGTTCCCAGTGTCATCACGACCAATGCCGGGCATTGTGCGTCTCGCGACATCTGTTATAATGTATGTATGTACGCCGCCTTCGCATCTGTGGGGAAATGCACTGAGCTCTATGGAATTTGTCTATGCCTACACACCAAGATAGCCAAGAAGACGGGAGTGCGAAACAGGGAGTAGTATGTACTTAGCAAGTGCACAAAGCGATAACTTAAATGAACGACTTCTCAGAGAGGTACTCGGTGATCCGCCTCACGGCCTCCGTCACGTCGCACTCGTCCGTCCTGATGTGCATCTCCGGGGATTCTGGCGCCTCGTACGGCGCAGAGATTCCGGTGAAGTCTGTGTACAACGCGGCAACCCGATATCCGGTCAGCGCGCACAAACGAGGGAAACGGGTCTGTGAGGATACTGAGAAGAGAGGCGCACGTACCCTTGATCTCGCCCGCCCGCGCCTTCTTGTACAGGCCCTTGGGGTCGCGCTGCTCGACGACGCTGAGGGGCGCGTCGACGAAGACCTCGACGAACGCGATGCCCGCCTGCTCGTGCAGCGCGCGCGCGACCGCGCGGTCCGCGCGGTACGGCGAGATGAACGCGGTCATGGTGATGCAGGAGGCGTCCGCGAAGAGCTTCGCGACCTGTTTCAGGGGAAGGCACCGGGGTTCGACAGCAATGCCCGCGAAGCGTGCGTCGTGGATCGGCAGCAGGCACCGATGTTTGGGGGATCGGAGGAATAGGTGGGAACGCGAGAGGGCCCAGGACAAACGACAGCAGTTAGGGAACGCACAACGGGGAGATAGTGCGACGGGAACGACGCACCTCGCCGATCCGGCGGATGTTCTCGTTGCGCGACTTCTCGTCGAACCCGAGGTCCTTGTTCAGCCCGAAGCGGACGTTGTCCCCGTCGAGCCGGTACGCGAACCTGTGCAGGTGCAGGAGGTGCTGCTCCAGCGCGCAGGCGATCGTCGACTGCACACCCCGCACCACGGGCGAAGTGAACAAGTGAACCGAGCAATTGATGTCAGCTCTATCTTTCGCTCGAGTTCACGAGACCGCTGCGGCAGATATCTCGCTTGCCTGCAGCAACGTGGGGGTGGAGAAGTGCGTACCTTTCCGCTCGCGCTCAGCCCCGTGAACCAGATCGTGACCCCCTTCTGGGAGAGCAGCGTCGCGCGCTCCTCCGCGCTCACCGAGCCTGTTGCAAAACGCACAACGAAACATCGCGATGCGTGCATCCAATCAGCTTCCGTCGATACGTGCTAGCATTGCGGCGTCGCCCCTCGCCCAAGGCACGCGCGGTCCGCACCTGGGTGGAAAGTGATGTTGGTGGCCATGTCTTCAGATCGCTAGCTGTGGATAGTGGCGCCTCTAGTGCTCGCTAGGAAGTATAGTACGAAGAACTGATATGACGAGGACCGAGAAAGACGTTTTGCGAAGGGAGGGAAGTGCTTGCGCCATGATGGTGCGCGGCCAAGGTGGTATATGTACTTTTCCCGCACGTGATGCTCATTTGCACGCCGCGTACAGCGCGTCGCGCCTGTGGCGAATCGCGCGCGCCCGTTTGCGCAGGACGACCTTCAGGATGATTCAGCTCCCACCTGTATTCCAGATTGCTGCCAGAAGGTATTGGATAGCGACCAATGACCGCGCGTTGGTATGCTCGATGCTGATTGGCAGTGGGAGCGGAGCGGTCACTCACAGCGTGCTACTGGCTCGGGCGAAGGGGCTGCGAACGCACCAACAATGTTCTGTTGGAGTGGCTCTTGTCACCAAGTCATGTGTGATTAAGGGGTATGTCATACAGATATGTGGCTACACGTGCGACGGATGCGGGTGTTGTGGTGGTATAACATTGCGAGAGCGAGATAGGCAGGACGGGACGAAGGACTGGGTGTATCAAGACCACGCAGAATCTCGAAGGCGAAGCGTATGGTTACATGGATTCAGACAATCAAGCACTGGGCAATCGGCAATCTGTGGGCGCGGTGAATATACGTACGAGGGCAAGAGAGGGCGCACGGGAGGAGACCAGATCACGGTCTGGCGCTGCTTACGACTGGTGGAAGCGCCCACAGACCCAAAGGACGATGCGCTGGATCGCGTCAGTCACTTGCTCTGTGCTCAGCGGCTGGTCGACGGGTGGACAGTGCATGAAGAGCACGGGCGTGCACTTCGTCGGGCTGTTCCGCTCCTTGAACTTCTCCTGCGGGGTGATGTGCCGCCTCGCCTCCGCGAGCGAGCAGTAGAACATGAAGTCGCAAAGGAAGTGGCCCGCGTCCATGGACGAATACACCTGCTAGAAGCGACGTGCGAAAACGATCGTTAGTCGAACGCACACCCAAGAAAAGCGAGCGCGCATGAATCCAGACGCACGTCAATGCCGCTCTCTTTTAGGTGTACGATCAGCTTCGGGACGTCGACGTCCGTCTGGAGCTCGTCCGGGAACGTCTCGTAGCCCTTGCCGAACCCACGGTTCGGGGCTGGGGGGATGTCCACCACCTCCGCCGCGCCGGGGGTCATCCCGGGGACATCGGCGCTCCCGCTCGGGCCCAGCGCGAACATGCGCTCCATGCGCGCGAGCTCTGCTTCTGCGTCGCTCCCGATGGTGTCTTTGGGCAGGTGCACGATGGGCGCGTACTCGCCGTCCGCGTCCTTCATGCGGTACCCGTTCTTGTGTCCTATGCGCTCGATGCGGAGCGGCCCACGCCCGGCGACTCCGACGTGGAAAATGAAGTCGTATCCGTTTGCGGGGGGCATGGGGAGGGCGAAATTGGGGTCGGTTGGACGAGGGATGACGGGGGGTCGGGCGTGGAGGCCGGGAACGGTGTTGAGGACGGCCTGATAGGATACGGGGATTTCTAGGACGGTGATGTGGATCTGCTGGGGGCGGCGGAGGAACTCCTCCATTTCGTCGGTGATGATCGCGGCCTGATCACTGGGTACGAGCAGCTCGGCGGGAGGGTCTTTGTAGAGGATGGTGTTGTGCAAGGGCTTGACGGCGAGCCATGAAGGGTTCTCGACGTACTTGCCAAAGGGCTAGGTACGGAGGGGCGGGGGAGAGCATGAATGCCCGGACTCATGAGCCTGGGCAACAGGATATTGGGGATGCTAGCGACTCACGCCGAAACCCGTTATGAGGACGCGGAGGGCATTGGGGTCGATGCCGTCGGTAGCTGGGACAATAGGCGGCATTTTCGACGGGGAGGTGTGGACCGGAAGGATGGATTGCTTGGGGAGGACGACTGGAAAGGTCGGTTGGAGAAGGAGAGGCAGTCGTCGAGACTGGGCGATGTGGGAGAGGGAGATATGGAGGGTGTGAGCAGGAGGAGGTCGGAGGTCGGGGCGGAAGGCAGAGACGAGGCTTGGTGCACCTGGTGTGTAGACGCAATCGATCCAAGCACGACCACTCCCACACGACGAAACCCAATCTGTGGCAAATCTCGGCCACTCACTCCTCCCAGCTTTCCTCCCACCAATCGCGCAATCACAGCAGACCTTCTCTCAGATATATACGCAGGCACACCGCCCACCAAACGCTGAGCAGACCGTCATACCCTACCTCAACGACGCACGACCCCATCAGACTCGTTCAGCCATGGTCTACAACCCGACGATCCCTGCACCGCGTGAAGCGCTAGATTTTGGAGGGAGGAGAATGTGTGGGGAATGAGCTCTTTCTCACCACATTCTCGCCACATTCTCCCCGAAAGGAGAATGTGGGTAAGATTACCGCATCCTCCCCCCATTCTCCACACATTCTCCTGCACATTGCCTGCACATTCTCCGTTGTAGAGAGTCTGGTAAGACAACACATAACATCGGTTATCTGGTGACAGGTCAATAACTCATTACCAAATTGTCAGCGCACGTGTTGCCACGTCCCGCGTGCACCCCGACCCGTTTGCGAGCTCCGTACTGGACCGCACATCCACTGCGCGGTGATAATTTAGGCACACATATTCAATGATGACATGCATTGACTACCATTGACTACATATCAGAAAGAGACAGCTGGGTCGCCAGATGATATCTAGCGCGCGGCTTGTAGAATGCCCGTTATAGCTAGCAGCAAGGATACTGATGTGCCTCAGCGACTCAATGTACCGTCCGAACGGTATCACGTCCCCCTGAGGCCGCAGCCCCGTCCTTCCACAGCCCGCCTTCAATCTGTTGAGCTTCGTGACAGCCTTGTAGATGGCCAGATGAGACTGGAAAAGAGGTTGTACGCTGCGTATCTAAAGGATATGTAGGTTGACCATGGTGGATAGGACCTTGGTGAGAAGGCCGGCGGGAGAGAAGGCTGTGTCCCATCCAGACCGTCCACCAGAGCCAGTCAGGCATCAAGCGGACACAGTGCGCGAAGGGCCTTGGCGAGCTCAGGCTTGTTGAGCATGAACTGGCAAATTTGCTTGAGACGGTCAGGGCCGTCGTTGAACCTGGGGTCACCGAAGGAAACATTGGATCAGCTTACTCACTCCTGCATTATCCAGAAGGCTAAGGGGTCCGAAGGCGGTGCTCTTTAGAGCGAGAGACGGGGACAGATGGAGGCCTGCCAGAGGGAGACGTAGCAGAGTGCAGAAGTTAGACGCTTGACGCGCCTGCAAGCGCAGGCGCATCTTGCTCTTCGTCCCGCACTCGTGTCTCCCCGGCCTCAATCGCAGCTATTCCCCTGCCTAGCTCCCCAATGTGATCGACACCAGCACTGGCACCAACACCAGAAGAGAGGAGAGGGAGGAAGAAGACGGTGAGTAGGTGAAGATCTGGGCGAGGGCGGGGGCTCAGTCACGGGCTGAAGAGGGAGCTCAAGCAGATGCGGGGCAAGGGGGAGAGCCAAGGGCGTAGGTACCTGCTGACGTTCCCGGAGGGCAAGTCGCTAGTTATAGGCTGGCCCTGGGCCCTCAACCTATAGTGGAAGTTCACTGGTACAACTTGGGATCGTGACATCGACGCGATCCACGCTATACACACATATGCACATCCAAGGCTGTGGCGTCGACAACTTATCTGACTGAAACTGATCTCCATATATTACTTATCTTGAACTATCCAATACATCCATATCGAGCACGAGAGAACCTGAGGAGAATGTGGAGGGAATGAGCATGTACTCCACACATTCGCCGTCCTGGAGAACGTGGCGGAGAATGTCAAGAGAATGTCGTGGGAATCCGCACATTCTCTGCATATTCTCCCCCGCCAAAATTTGGCACTTCACGCTGTGCTGCCAGTGCCCTGGCGCTTGGAAGGAGAACCGAGACTAGCGCCCAAATGCTACGAAGCACACGTGACATACGCGTCTTCGCATTTGCGGGGCGTTCGCCCAGCTCGACTCCTTCGTTTCTCTCTCGCCGCCATCTTCGGCTGCCTCGCCTTTGCGCGTGTTCAAGGATCTGGTTGAGGTACGAAGATGAGCACTGACAACAAACGAAAGGGTGCGTCGCGTAGTACTCATCATCAAGTTCGCGCTGACTGACGCTTGACGCGTCGGCCGCTCCTTTCAGTCACTTGGTACGATCGTGCGTTCAATGACGGTCCATATACGCGCTGATTTTTGCGGGCGGACTTGAAGTCCAGTGTGCTCTAAGCTTGTACTTGAACGAGACATCAATGCACACCTGGATAGCAACTGTGCCGATGATGTCCGTCCTTCTACATTCTCAAACACGCAGAAGGGCAAGATGGCTCAAGCTTCCATCGCTTCGCTCTTCACGCCCTCTAGCAAGAGCCAGCACGCTACTCAGCCTGCATATCACCCGTCCGCCTCCTTGTCTTTCAAAGCCTCCCATGCGCGAAAGCATAGCGAGCTCGAAGATGCGTTCGCCCCAGAAGCTACTCCGCTCAAACGTCCCAGGGTGACTGCTTCCTCCCGGCTGCAGTCTGCTGCCCCCCTGGCCGAACGCCTCCGTCCGCGTTCATTGGACGAGTTTGTTGGCCAACCTCACTTGACAGAGCCTGGCTCGCTACTCATGAGCCATCTCGACCGCGGGGCCACCGGCAGCATCATCTTCTGGGGGCCACCTGGGTGCGTATCTTTCCCCGTGTTACGTGACGTCGCCTCCCTCGTCTCATCTCTGATTGGGGAATGCCCATCTAGGTGCGGCAAGACGACGCTCGCGCGATTACTGGCGAGCCGCACTGATGCCGTCTTCAAAGAACTGAGTGCCACCGACTCCGGCATCGCCGACGTGCGGTCGGTCGTGGAAGAGGCGAAGAACCTCCTTGCGCTGACAGGCAGGTAATCGGGTATATGCGAGCTTCCGCGGCAATCTTCTGACTATATGCTATATGAAGGCGCACCATCCTGTTCTTAGATGAGGTTCACAGGTTCAACAAGGCTCAGCAGGTACCTTGGCTCTGTGACTTCTTGCCAATTGTGCCGCTACTGAAACTTTTCGTCAGGACATCTTCCTCCCATTCATCGAGCAGGGGCATCTACAGGTATGTTCCCTTTGACCAACGGTCGAGCCCCTACATGTGCCAACGTCTTGAACAAGTTGATAGGCGCAACGACGGAAAACCCATCCTTTCGTCTGACGAGCGCACTGCTCAGTCGTTGTCGGCAAGTGGAGCTTCGACGTCCGTCTTATCGCACAAACTAAGTCCTTCGTACACACGCAGCGTGTTCATACTCGAACGGTTGACTGACGAGGACATCAAGAAGATCGTCACGCAAGCTGTTGAACGCGTGTTGGAGACATTTGCGCCGTCTGACAGGCCTTCTCGCATCTCCTTGCCTACGCCTTCGCCGAACGACCTACACGTCATCGACGATGACTCAAGCGACGTCGCGAGTTCGCAACCGGATATCGAGGAGCCTCTCGCCCACCCGTCCTCAACGCAAGGCTCAGTAGCGTCCGCTTCCGCGGGGCATTCCACAACCGCGGAGCCCACTCCGCAGTTCCCCACGCTTCCGCAACTCACGCCCAAGGTCCTATCCTCGATCGTAGTGCTATCGTGCGGCGACGCAAGGACGGCCCTATCGCTCGTCGAGCTTGTCACCTCGGCGCCCACGGACTCTGACGAGGGGAAGCTCCTCGCTGCGCTCCGGCGCTCAGTCGCGACCGCGTACGACCGCGGCGGGGACAGCCACTACGACATGATCTCCGCGCTGCATAAGAGCGTGCGCGGAAGCCAGGGGAACGCGGCGCTGTACTGGCTCGCGCGGATGCTCACCGCGGGCGAGGACCCGCTGTACATCGCGCGCAGGATGGTCGTGTGCGCGAGCGAGGACATCGGGCTGGCGGATAACCACGCGCTGCCTCTCGTACGTGTTCCCACATTCCCCGGCGTATGCGGCTCTGCTGACTGTGTGCAATCGCAAGGCAATGGCGACGTACCAGGCGTGCCAAGTCATCGGCATGCCCGAGTGCCGCATCAACCTCGCCCACCTCGTCGCGTACCTCTCTGAGGCCCCCAAGTCGACGCGCTCGTACGAGGGCTACAACCGCGCCGAAGAGGCGGCGAAGCTCGACCCGTCGGTCCCCGTGCCGCTCGCCATCCGCAACGCGCCGACGAAGCTCATGAAGGAGCTCGGTTACGCGCGGGGCTATCGGTACAATCCGGAATACGCGTGCGTGTCTTCTGCGCTGACGTTTGCTCCGCCTGACCAGCTGACCTTGGGTATTTGTTGCTGCAGCCATCCTGTCACTAACGACTACCTTCCGATTCAGTTCCGCGGTGATGAGTTCCTGCGAAAGGAGGGCGACACGGCCAACAAGACTTGGGATGAGGACGCGCTCCGCCAGTGGGAGTTCGAGGAGAATGGGGGTCGCCCTTGGCCAGGGCGGCCATCGGAGGGCGAGCAAGCGGGAACTGCTCGTCGAGGTGATGTGTCGCAGACATGATGGCTCTTCATTATGATCCCGCATTTCTTGGTTCTTGCTTTCATTGCTATGTGCTTGCTTTTGCTCACCCTACTAATCTTGCTTTGATGCACCATCTCATGTAACTATGTATATGGGAACACTGACATTGACATCCATTCTATTAACTCCAATACCCATAAGTGACAGCCATAAAGTTAACTCCTGCACAGTACTAGTATAGCTTCCATGACATTGTGGTCACTTCCAGAGGAAACCCTTGCATTTGGCGGTGCCACATCGGCAAGGAACATACACTGCACCATTGGCTTGAGCAGCAAGCTCCTGCACACAGAAGTCAGTATTGTGGCATATGCAAGGAGGCTATAGTCACATACTGCAGGCTTGTCCTCCTCATCCACACCAAAGTAGGAAAAGCATAGCTCTTCATAAGGCTCCACATCCTTTATGGTGAAGATGGTGAGGAGAGGCTTATCAATGTTGGATTCATTGATGTAGCCTGCAACAATCGCACAGTTGGGGTCACAACTGTGATTCTGAACAACTAGATGTTAGGCATAGCTCAAGCGGTTGACTGTCATTTTCATACCAGGTATCGAGTGAACTAGTTCAGGAATCAGTGAACAGTCTTCTTGGTGGATTGCCTCTATGACTCACATTGCCAGCATGATATGCGTCTATGCAGTATTTGGGAGGCTCATCCTCATCTTTCTTAACATGATAGAAATCCACGTCAAAGAGATATGTTCTCCCAAAACTGTTGTAGTACCTGATGATATCCAGACTTCAGTTTCATTCAAGGTAGAGTATGAAGCTACTCACAATCCTCTCTTCTCTCCCTCTTGGTCTGTGAGATATTCCCCAGCATAGACTCCGAGGAAGCTATAAGCTGGGATTCTCTTTGGCCCAGCAAATACCCCTATGTACTAATCAGTACAGAAAAGTGCTCAGAAGTGACAATCACTCACCCCAACCCTTAGCTTCTGTCTTCTGTATTGCTATCTCATATTGCCTTCCACGCTGCATGACCTATGTTCGCATGGTTTAACATGGAGATTTGTGACATATTGAATGACTTACTCGGTTCGGGCAATCATCAGAGCAACCACAGTTGATATTGCACTCGAAGATTGGATACTGATGGTGCTTCAGTTTTCCCTTCTGATCGTACATGAAACCGCCACCGTCCCAGTATTGCTTGTTCCGCCTGACACATGCGCAAGTCTTGGAGTTTGGATTGCAAGGACCGATGCAGCCGCAACCTTTGAGCGCCTCGAAGTCGGGCCTCGGGACATCCGCACCGTGCCACATCAAGTTCGTGTAATAGAACTCCATGGGAGGTGTAGGCTCATCGTCGACGTCGTTGATGATGCGGATTGGCGGGGCATTCGGCTCGTCTTCTGCGGTATTGGCGGCGATTTCTGCTTCAAAGATGGCTTGCAAGTTGCTGGCGCGCCTCGCTTCGGGTGACAGCGCGTTGATGCGGTCCTGAAGGTCGGTGGGAATATCATCGGCGGACTGTGTGACAGGGGCAAATTCCCTTGCTACGCGTCGCCGGTCCTTCTTCCAAGACAGAGATTCGAAGCCAGCATCCTCGAAGGCCCGAGAGAATTTAGGCCGAGTAGCCCGAGAGATACCGCCCTGTCGGGCGACCTCATCATCACTGGGCGTACGGATGCCGACCGGCTCACGACGCCACAGGCGTCGACGAGGCAATTCCTCGGGCTCGACTGAAGAACTGGCAGAGCTAGAAGACAGACGGGTGGAGCGACGAGGGCGAGACGACGGCGCTTCAGAAGAGGCTTCACTGTGGTTCCGCCGGCTCATAAGGGGTCGGACGGGGAACTCATCCTCATCCGCATCAGGAATCTTGCACACATTCAGTTGCAGTGATTATTGAAGAAGGCAACAGGCACGCACCTCAGCTTCAGGGGACGCTTCAGGAGTGGAACTTGGGTATAAAAGGCTACGTCCCTCCTCTCCCGTTGTATCCGTTGACGGAGAACCCGAACCCGAGGGACTAATGGCTGTATGAGGGCGTATGTCCGAGGCAAGGAGGCGGTTACGTGCTGGAACAGATGGCGCTGCTTCAACGACAACCATCTCAATCTCGGGAACATCTGTAGCTGCGTGGGTGGCCGTTGAAGCAAAAGATACCAGAGATGGGGCAGAGCTTCCTATACTGGAGGATGAGGCAGTCTGCATGTTCCGAATGACGTCGCGGCGGGGCAGACGAGGCTTTGGAATAGCCGCTGGCAGCGCAGTCTCTTGAGCAGACGCTTGAGAATTGCTGTCAATGGCTGCAGACTCGGCTGGAGGAGACCTGAGGGCATCCGGAGCGCTGGGCCTCCGCACATTCCGAGGTAGGGGGGGGAAGGATAGCTTAAGAGAGGATGGCTGTTCAGGCTGTGAGGGAGTTGTGGTCTTCGAGGGAGAAGGTTGCTGCAGCTGTGGGGCGTTAGTAGGCTTGATGGGGGACAACCGATCGACCTGAGTAATGTATGACTGCCGTTTGCCGACGTTCCGAATAGTATTCAAATCAATTGTCCTCACGGTTGAAGGGCTAGTCGTTGACAGTGCTGTCACGGCCACTTGGACCGCCGTAGCCGGAGTTACTTGTACATCTCCTACAATTTCGTTAGTCATACGCATATATGCACCCAAACGACTACATACGTGGCCGCGTGAATGGTGGGACTTCCCCACGCGACTCCGATGACTTCTCGGCGGGATTGCCTGCAGCCTCCGCCGCTCGATCGTCGTCTGACTTGTCGAAAGTCAGGTCAATCACGTTCTTGCGGGCATTCTGGTTTGCTGCGTCCCTGATGACTTGAGAAAGAGTGGGACCGAGAGGCTGGGGCAGGGAATTCTCTAAGGGAGGCGTTGAAGGTTGAGTACCAGGACGGTGAATCTCTAGCTTCTGTAACGATGTCTGAGCTGCTGTAAGTGGAATGCTTTTGACCTGCTACCTACCTCTATCTCAGCGGTCGCTACGGAAGGGGTGGGCTCCACCGAAGGGACCACCGGAGTTGGTTGGGGCAAGGATGATTGTGGCTCCGGGATAGCCGCTTCGCCCTCAACAACCTCGGGGTCAATGACCTGATGGAGACCGGATGCTTCGTCCAACCTTGACGTGGAGACCACAGCTGACAGTTGAACGTCTTCCACAGGACCCTTCTGGGTCTCATGCACAGCAGCAGTCGAGACACATGTATCCTTGGGAAGCTCGCTGAGAGAGGTGTCTGCGAGCGCGTTGGTCGAGAAAGTAGGAGAGCCTGCAGAGGTGTCTCCCCCTGGAGAGACAAGGGGTGAAGACTTGCCGGTACCCTGAAGACGATATTGCAACTCAGAGCGCTTCTTCAGGGCACCCCGGATCCATCCTGTCGACCCGTCGTGCACAGCCCCGCGCATCTTCCATGGAACACGGTCAGATGGCCGCAGGGAACGAGTCCTGGATGAGGATCTGCGGGAGCCTGTTACAGCAATTTCAGTGAATATTCCGGAGCGGAGCCGCCTACAGCTACTTACTGGATTGGGTGGCTGTGCTCCCCTCGGAGGGCGACTGCACATTCTCAGCTGAACCACTCGATCCCGGCGGGGTCCCGGAAATGACAAGATTCTGCAGCCCTGGGTCTAGAACAGTTGAGACGGGGCTTGCAGTATCGGCACGGAGACCAGCAATGTGAGGAAGTGGTGGCGTCGATGCCAGTGAGTTAGGGTCCTGGGCGAGATCGCTTCCTGATGGATCCGATAGCTCAGGGACCGGCTGCATGCCAGCCTCGGATGGCGACGTACTGCAGAGCGTTGGTGTGCCGTCGGGGGTCGTTCCTTCCTCCGTTACCAGTTCCATAGATATGGGCGCCTCAGACGGTTCCGTGAGCGGCTGATTGGACTCTACCAAGTCTTCCGCTTCTGGCTGTTCCTCATGCGAGGGAGACGATGGTGTAGCTGGTGTGATGTCTTCAGGCGCGAGTGCAACTTGGGATTCTGATCCACGCTCTGGCCTTACTTCAGACCCTGCTGCTTGGCTCGCACCATCTGCCATCTCAAAGTCAACTGCTGCCGGCGGCTCCGGTACCTCAAACATGGCAGGAGGACTATCGACCATTTCCATGTCATCCAATGGGGGCGGTGTCGCAACTAAGGACGGTCGTTGTTCGGGTGGTGGTACGGGAATTTGCACGTCGGATGGTTGCTCTTGTGTATGCGCCATAGGGCGAGAGGACGGTTCAGATGCGTTCCGCTGCACTGGAGAAGTCCGTCGCGCAGTAGACGACGGCTTCTTCAGCGGCACTTGGCTACTCGTGGGGGGCTCGTCGTCATCGGAAGACTCCAGGATGATGCAGCCATCGACTTCCTTGTACCTGGCAGGAGCAGGAGCTCTGCGTCGGGGCAAGGTGCTTTGTTGGCTCGATTCCGGCTTCTCGTCCCTGGATGTGTTTCTGGATCGCGATGACAGCATCTGGGCTTCCTCGTCACTGTCCAAGATCTCGATAATTTCATCTGGCGGTGCTGCAGGCGCGGATGCTCGACGAGAAGTTTGACGAGCTGCTCTCGGAGCTGCTTTCATGAGGCGCAGTGAGCATATATGCTTCACGGCAAGGCAAGAGACGCACCCGCTTGTTCGTCCACCTCATCTGAGATATCAATGACATCGTATTGTGATATTGCTGACTTGCGCCGTTGAGTACTCAAGGGTCGCTGGGTAGCGCTCCCAGATTTGTCGGGTGCTGCACGGCTGGAACTCGAAAACCTACTACCTTGTTGAGGTCCTGGTTTGGAATGACATATATGAATATCGGTTGCACGAAGCAATGCGTACTTGATGCTGATCTTACCCCTCGAGCCTATGATTGGCTTGAATGGTCCTGCAAGAGGGGGCTGACTACGCAACGACGAGCTTGGGACCCTCGAGCCTATGGCTGGCTTGGATGATCCTGCAAGAGGGCCACGCAACGACGAGCTTGGAACCCTCGAGGTAGTGGGACCTGATCTGTTGGCCTGCTTTTGCTTAACTCCGGGATGGGGATTCAGACGTTCAACAATCCTTTGCGCTCGCATGCGAGAGAGTTGGCCAGTATCCATTGTAGCTCTCCGATTCTGGCTCGCTGCATCGCGGCTTGTACCGGCAGGCGCGCTTGAGAGGGGCTGCTTGAGCAGGTGTTTCTCGTATGTGGCGGAGCGAGAAGCTCCCGCAGGCAGAACCGCTGTGCGCGACGAAGAGGGAGTCGCATTGACGAGTAAACGCTTTTTCTTCTTCTTCGGTTGCTCTTCCTCCTCATCGGTGCCGGAATGGGGACGTCTTGCCCGCGCTGGCGGCGGAGGCCCTCCGGAAACTTGGAGTGTGTCGCGTTTGTGGTTGCCCCGCCCAAACATAGATATCCACATACCTGGTCTATTCGGCCGCGTCCCATAATGCCCTCCAGATTTTCCGCCACCGAGATTGTGCTTAGAACTAGGCCCTGGTGACGGGGGTGGCCCCATTGCGTTCGAAGAAACTGCCGATTGTACAGGGGATTCCTGGGTCAACTGCGAACGCTGCGTTGGATGTTTGTCCTTGGACGGCGCCCCCGAGCTTTCTGAGGGCTCTGGAGGAGTGTGCAGAGTCAACCCCGGGACCGACAATGAATTTGGCCATGTGGCAGAAGCCTCACCTTTTAAAAAGGCCCAACCTGGGATCGACTGGCCGCGCATAATATCAAACCGCGCCCACAATTCGTTCCAACGCGTTTCCTCACTTGGGCGGTTCGCACAGTAGTCGCTCTCAAGTCCCGGAGTGTTAATATGCACAAGCAAGCATGTTTGAACCGACAGTGTATTCAGTGCGCGTGAGACGTTCGGCCGACGCGAGACCACAGTCCAAGCTGCAACCTGGTCCTTAGCGCCTATTGGTCAGCCAATCATACACGAGCTTTCGCCTCGTTCGGGCATTAATGGATAGCCCATGTTGGCCTAGTCTCGTGACCAGACGTTCGGAGCTCCAAGCGGGAACGAAAAACCGGGAGTTCCCGAGCACCTTAACGAACGTCTGGTCACGAGACTAGTAAAAACCAGCGTCGCGTTTCCCCCAGGCCTCCCTGTGCTCGGATCAGCGGCAGCCCCCTGCCGAGCCCCTCAAGCCAGCGCTTTTTACATCAGCTGTAAGGTCCTCGGGAACCTCCGATTCGCGTTCCCGCTTGGAGCT